AAATAAATAAATAAATAAATAAATAAATAAATAAATAAATAAATAAATAAATAAACAAACAGTTAAAGGGCACCTTCATACCAGATTTTTACACTAAAATCATCCTGAAAAAATGACTAAGTTATTATGGTTTTGGTTAAATGATATAATGTTTTGTGCAATCTCAATGCAATATCAGTATGAGTTGTGAATTACTTTCAGCTACTACCACGCCAAACTTTAGCTTCTGTAAACATAGATGAGATGTAGGTATTTTTGTGTTTTTAGAGTCAGTCAGTTGACCATTATAAAATGTGTTAACTTCAAAAGCTTTTTAGTTGTTGATGTACCTTCACTGATTTCTTTTCTGAGAATTTTAAACCTATCTGTCAGGTGTTCTATGAGATGTTTTGCTAACACTACAGAAAAACACACACAAGGACGTTTGCAGAAATGTTATCGCCCATTTGCTGATGGGAAATAGTTAACAAGAACATTTTTACACACGTATAAACAGCTTTTGTTTAACAAAAAATATCCCAACTTAAAATGGTATTACCACTGGTTTCAGTCAAACACAATAAAAAAATTGGACCTCATCAAAAAACAGGTAGTAAATTTTAATGAAACATTAATGAGAAATAAAAAAAATGAAGATTTTAGTTGCTGATCATCTGAGAGGAGAAAATTTGCAATGGTTTGTTTGTAATTCTCAATCCTGATTCAGGATTAAATCCAGATTTTTCAGAGACATTGTCCCTGCAACATGTCTAATTATTCATATAATAGGCTATTCAAACTAACTTATCTCCACTAACAATTTGACAGGTTATTGTTAAAACATAAGTGTCATCCTTTTAGAGGGTTTGAACTCACCAAAGAAGGCGTTTGCAAACACATTGTTGGGGGTCTTGTTTGATGGCAGCGAGCTCTGGTTGAAGCTGTCCATACTGAGAGGCTGGCCATAAATCTGAAAAGATCAAACAAGATATCATCTGAGATTGAAAAACACATTTCTTCCTGTGTTTGTGTCACTCGGAAGAATCTGGAAAAACTGCGAGTGGAAGTCACTGCATTATGAATAAAAACAAGACAAAGCAAGAGAGCCGAGGCACACTTAGAGCTACTGCGATAATCCGTAAGCTGCAGATCCATGCACCTCCTTATCCGGATTTAGGAACCATTCACCATGAGAAATCCCAGCACTAATCGTGACCGTGGACTCAGAACACTGGGACACCATTTTTTTTTCAAAATAAAAGCACACTTCAAGCATTATCAACAACACCAAACAGACTCCTGCACTCATTATCCTCCAAAAGCAAAATTATCTATTTTTATATTTGAACCCAACTCTGTCACGTATCTGCACGTGTGCACCAGAGGAGATAAGATGGTTGCTCACTCAGGCCCACCAAGAGGCCGCGGCTGCACCTGCACAGCTCGGAGTTTGCTTTGATGTGCCCCAGGAATTGAGAGAGAGAGAGAGAGAGAGAGAGAGAGAG